GAAAAATTATAAATAGAAAAAATAAGAAGGAAGCAGAAAAGAAAGAAAAGAAAGAGAACCCTAATAATTCCTCCGATTATGCTTTTGTGGAAACCGCCCACCACACACAGGTGAAGCCATTTTATATCTCAGACAAATGACGGAACTATTTAGTCCGCGTCTATTGAGGAATACTAGTAAGAAGCTAGTTATAAGGGATATTATTAACAACCTCTTCTTTGTACTACATTTTGTATGTTCATGCTGCAGCGTAACTAAAGTGGGTTCATATAAAAAATACATTCACTCATAGAGTTAAATCTGCTTTCTGAACTTCATTCATATATCCCCACAAATGTATATAAATCCGACATGAATATAAATGACATGTTCTTTACAGTTATCACAATATTCTTCAAAGCCCTCAGTCGTCTTAGTTATTGTACACAGAAATATGTCATTCTAAACGGGAGTATAATGACTGGGTTGAATGAATATTATACAACATATGCGAAGCGAATTAATGAATAGACGTCTGATAAACTTCTCGGGAAACTGATGGATTCTGTATCAGACAATAATCATTTTGATGCTTATGTATCTTCATCTAAATATTACCATGGATTGCATACATGAAATGAAAACGATTCCATGTTTCCGCAGAATTCTTCAAAATATAGACTGTTTGAAGACAGAATCAATGGAAAGCTGCTAACTGTTCATTCCATGGTCTATGGAATTATAGAAATTCTGAATCGAACGTTGATTGAGACAGAAATCATTATGAGGAATCCGCTGATACCTGAGATCTTATCATTGTTTCATGCACCACAGGCTTCATTAACGATGTTCAAGTGGGGACATTACAATTTCAGGGAAACTTATATAGAGGACTTAACTAATCACTCCGCATCCTCAATAAAAGTTTAGACTTGAATCTATCATAAGGAATAATGATAAAATTTCCAAAAGTTATTTCAATCACAGATGATCTTTCGGCATATACAGTGCAACACACCTGCAGAGAAATTGTTATCCTGCATGAACAAACCTTAGGTTACTTCATTGTTCACACAGTGTGGTTATATAGACATCCCTAGATATATTACAGGGAATACACTAAGGCCACACTGCTGTTGGTAGTCTTCTTATGTTACTCCTCCATATACTTATGGCTATTCATACAATTCCTACTATTCTCCCCATAAAACTCGCTTTGTTTCATATTCACTGAAATTTCTGCAACCTTTTACAGTTCCCCCTGGTATATACATACTTTCAACCTATTATAATTTAAGAAAACAAAGAAGGACACGTAAGGGTCAAATACATTTTCTTAATGAATACTTAAGATACACGTATCGCTCATTCGGTCGATTCTCTTAAATACGATCTCCAGACAGCCCACATCGCCGTAAAATAATTATGGAGTCGGCTTCCCCTTTATTTATATCTTCCTATCTTACATAATTACTAAATAATGAGAAATTATTATTTCGTCCTATAGATACCTCTTTCCCATTAGTAAGATTTCTATGCGATCTATTAGTTTTTAGTAAGATTTACATGTAAGGGTCATTGCAGAAAGCGATGAACTTCATCCTAATTCATCTTACTTCTCTATATTTCTCTCATTTCGGGTGCAACGGAGGCTTAACACGGCTTGTGAAAACATCTTATTCTAACACAGTTATGTGAGCAGATTGATACTCTTCCAAATTACACATCTTCCGTGTTGCACTTTGCAAAGAAGGACATGATATTCGAATTCATCTTAACTACAATACATCAAGGGAGCTATAATTCATTGTATAACTCCATATAATTAAACTAATTATGTGTCATTATCCTCCTGCAACCATGCTTCCCGTATCTCGGATAGAACTCTCCTATATTATAATTTAACAACTGTAATTGCATATCGCTTTGATCCTTCCTTATGTGTTTTTCCTGAATTTACATAACGCATATTTGAATATACTGTTCATAGCGTCAGATGAAATAGAATACCCAAATCATGTGAAATCCCTTCACATTCTTAGCATATATTCCTCTCAAAAGGAAGTTTTACAGATTCTTTGTGTTTTCATTCTTAGGACATAATTCTTGGATTAACACTCAAATATATGTAGAACATATTATTCATGTTTCGTAATGGTGGATAGAAAACAGAAAATAAGACCCTATTATAAGTGTAACAATGATAACACTAATGTATACAAAAATCTAGGGCGCAATCCTTAGATATTATACTTACGAATTCTGAGCATTGACGTCCATAAGTTTCCCCATTTGTAGTTATACGTAGTCCTCCTTAAATTAGATGCATACTTATACAGCGTGTACTTCGAATATCATGGTAACACATTATGAATAACCCACCTCTTCCAGTATACCTGTCACAGTGAAATATAGGTTTGAATTCTTATTTGAATTTCTCACTTCCGTGGATAATGTTTTCTAGTGTGGTATGGCTAATTGGAATATCCATTTTAACATGAATCTCAGGATCAACTTCGTAGGGTATTCATATCAGGCGTCCCCCTCCTGTTCTAAGATAATGAAGCTCATACTCCTGTAAGACACATTTCAATGGGGGAATCAGTTTCCTCTTTAGATTTGATAAAATTTTATTATAACATTATTGATGTAGACAAGTTTTGAGATATTCATTATAAGTAAATGTACATAAGTGTATTCATAATTACGTTACAACGCTGAAATAAAATATAACCATAGTTGTGTCCCTTGGTGCTCCTTTAGGTTATCAGAGCCCATTATAAGTTAATCATCCATTTGATACTTATCTATACAGAAGCCTCTTCCGTAGATGACGCCCTTAGGGGGGTATAAGTGCTTAATTAGAGAGTACTTATAGGGATTCATTGAATATTTCCTCCGCCCTCCATCCTTAACCATTATAGGAGATTTTTCATTTTAGTGTTAGTAAGATAACCCAAATAATCCGTGCGCTCCCCTGATCCACGGGTATAACTCTCACTGAACAAGCGAAAGGATTACTTATTCCCTCACACATAATATCCCAGGCTCATAAGTCTTGTCTCCTTATATCATAAAAATGCCCCGTCACTTCTGTGGAGTTATACATGAGTTGTTAATAGGCACAGATGAAAAGCTATAGAATAGATTTAGGATAGGCATAGGATACGGTTCAGAGCACACGTGTGGAGAACAATACCAAAACTTTAGACTTCTACCCTTAAGATAATTAGCTCTTCTACTTCCCCAGGAGTTTATAATAACTTATCGATAACTATATAAATGGGGGGTCCCCATCTCCTGCAAATCATAACTCTAGGATACCTATATACAGCATAATATCTAATGGTAATGAATCTGATTCTGAGGTAAATATTTTTCTACAGATGATGAACAGAATTCGTACATTCCGAACTAGTTGTGGAATCAAATTGTAATGGATCATTTTGCCTCCACGGCATTATAATGACCATATATTCCCATTCTAGGTAATTAATTCCTCCAATTTGCTCCTATGATAACTTCGTCCTGCAACTTCTACAGATATGTCCCAAATCGTATATGCCTATATAGAGAAATGGATAAGTGCATCTTTACTCGTTGTTACTGTAACATTGTGTTATAATTCTAGGTAGGAGATTGCTATCCATGGATTGGAGGTGTTAGTCAATATGTCTCTTCTTCATAAAAACCATCATGTATCCATAGTAAGTATTCTTCCTCGTCTCAAATGGTATTATGGAAGACGCCATAATACAAATAAACGATAACTGTACAACTAGGTTACAGGTAAAAATCATATTCATCTTGGCCACTAATGTGAAGTGCATTTAAAAAGAGGGAGGAATTTCATGCAACCGATATTGACAGAGAAATTGCGCAGGTACCACATTTCTCCTACGGGAGACTTAAACCAATCACTATATATTGCTTCCCCTTTCCCTTGTAACACAAGCATCTAAAAGGCGTCTGTATTAACACTTGTACTATAGTATAATACAGTGCCTATTTT